AAAAAAAATTTGCAAGTGTCAGCGCTTCAAATATTTTCAGCAAAGCACTCTCCCAGGCAATGATGTTTCTTGTATGTTATGCTATGTTGTCATCCTGTACTATAATTTAAAAAAATGAGATTTATCAGCTGGTAAACAATCATCAGCATTAGTGGCTCTCTTGAGTATTTCAATTAGATTCTACACTTTAATTGAATACCATTTCAGCAGAACACCACGAAGGAAAAGTAACTAGATCAGATACAGGCTGTCTAGCTAGCACTGGTCTTCTACAGACTATGAAAGTCACCTATGAGAATGGCTTGTCTTTCTTTTAGGACAAGAAATCGCTACAAAGCTTCCCATCCTCACGCAGATGCGTTACACCACCAGCTACCAGCACGCTGCATTCACAGCTCAGGATAATCAGTGAAGCCAGTTTCTGTGTGAGCAAACAACAGATGCTGCACCCCGGCTCAGCACTGATCTGCTTGGGCCCGACCATCAACTCAAACAGTTTTGGTAAAGTATTTACCTTTATCTTCATCTGCTGCGATTCCTGGTAGCTAACGTGTATTTTACTCTGAAAAGTGCCGTGCTCCTTTTCCAGCGCGTTGATGCGCTCTCGCATCTTCGCTGTGAGCAAGCCGTTCCTCTCCTTCTCTGCAACCAGCTCCTTGGGTGGGAGTGAAAGGGAAGAGGGAAAGTAGTTATCTACTGCTCCTTTCTGGAGCCTAACAGTCAAGTGTTTTAAGATAACTAAAAACAAGCAAGAGTGCATCAAACCAAAGTCACCATCAATCTTCGCTCAGAGAAGTTACAGTATTCGACCTGACCAAGCTTCCAGCACTTTTATGAGGATTTAGGATCAGCATTATTTCACATTTATTAAAAAGAGGTCTGCCAATTTAAACACTGATCTGTTGTCTCAAAAGAGCTGGAGTCTTACTGCTATTGAGTTTGACCAAAGTACACAGGGTCCTTACAATTGAAACCACAGATATCACACGGGGCAGCTTAGATTTGCATCCCAAGTTTAGCAAAACAGAAGACTGCAGGTAAAGAACGGTGGCAAAACAACAGAGCATTTTAGAGCAAATAATTGCTTTGTAGCAGGTTGCAAAGCCACCCATTTTGTCAGAGGAGACGGGCTATTAGTACCCAGCAACAGCCAGAGAAGCCCTGAATCCCATCAGCATTATTCCATATTATAGATCTCAAATGAAAATACACATTGCTATTTAGATTAATCATTTATTAGGCAGCAATTCAACCCATACACCCAAGAAATCCATAGAGCTGCTCCCCTGCAATATAAGTGCACTTGCTGCAGTAAGCAAAAGCATTAAGTGCAGCTTTCAGCACGCTCCCATTGCGGAACGGGGTATTTGTACCATCTAAGCTTCAGGTGTCTCCAGCTACACGGCACAGCACGCAGCTCCTTACAGTGCCAGGGAGCCTTGACACACAAATTAAGTGCTCTAAATTATTAGCCTGAACACCCTCCATCTCTTCAGAGTAATTATAGCTTCTTCCACATTTTAATTTCAATAAAAGTTATTCTCTTCTAGATCCAACTTACTAGCTTCAGGAGGCTATTCCCCCTGAATGAAGTGACAAGTTCCCAAGCCCACGTTCACGGAGGCATTTAGGAACTTGAGCCACACCACAAGTGTGCAAATACAGTGTAAGCAGCTTGACACAAAGCCTTCTCCATGTCATATTTGCATCTGCTAAGATGCAACAAAAAGGAGGGCACCAGGACATATTGCAGCTTCCTTCTACCCCTCCACCAATTCCACCACCCATCTGCAGTCCCCGCTAACTCAGCTGCCCTGCCAAGGCAGTGCCAGAGATCCCGGGAAGATTAACTTTCACCTCGCTTGTGTTCTGCCAGATACCTCTGAGGTCAGGCATCTCTTGCTCTCATTTATCCTCTCCAGTTATCACCTTTATCAACACCACTGCAGGAACGTCTCGGCACCCTAAAGTCCCTCTACGGTTTTTGGCAGTGTTTTCAGAGACACATTAATTAGAAGAAAAAGAGCCTTTTGCCAGTCAAGCTGAGCTTTTTCCCCTTGCTTATCCTGATACTTTAGCACTGCAGCAACTTTGCTTTTACCCATTTTCTCGCAGCTTTCACGAATGCCCATTTATTTCTCCTTCTCCCTTCCCTCCCCCAATCCAGCTGGCAAAAAACCTCTGACGACCTCTACTTTTCCACAGTTCCTGCCTTGCCTTCACAAGCACCGCTTTGCAGATGTTTATTCCCAGCCACATCAGCTTCCCCCACACCCAGGCTCCTTCATACATTCCCTCTGCTTCTGCAGCACCAGATGCCTCCCTCGCCTTTCATCCTGCAATCCTGAGCCAGAGTTTCTTCCCCTCCACACCACCAAACACAGCACAAGTCCCTTCTCCCTACAGTTACCCATCGACTATCCCAAACCTCTCAATCCCATCTGCAAATAAACACCTACCTGTGCCCTGCCAGGAGCTCCCAGAACATCCACCCCCTTCCTCCCTTCTCATCTGCCAAGGCTCCCAACTCCCACGTCCTCTGGCCACTCTGCTCCCACCTTTAGCCACCCAGCCTTCTCTGCCCGACTCGTGTCCCACAATGTGACCTTCCTGAGCCTAATGCCCATGTGTTTCCAAACCAGCCAAAACATAAGAATCCTCCCTCCAAGTCTCCAAATCATTCCATAGCCACATCATTATTTGTTCTACCATAACTGCTTTCCTCTGAAACCTTCATTAAAAAAAAAGAAGTTTCATAAACTGGTCTTGACAGTGGTACATCAGCAATCCAGTAAGTCTAAAGCAATCAGAGCTGCAACTCAAGGGGCTAAGGAGGCAGCCTACACTTTCTGTAGCTTCCTTCTTGATGAAAACTGATGACTGTTGCGCCTGGAAGCACACAAGCATGTGAATGCTAGAGTATGTACCAAGTTAAAACTGCGATGCAGAAAGTGTGTTTGATACTTACATCCACAAAACCATATTATACTCATGAAAAAAGTGTTTTTAAAGCAACCTTTCGAATAGAAAAATAGTCCCAGCTTAAAAGTCTCAGTAAATGAACTCTCTGGAAAAGCTACTGGACAACAACCCTGCATAAATACATTATCAGAAAACCAAACACGGTGTCTTGGTAAGCTTTCCCAACATAAAAAATTCCACCTTTCAGTTTATACTAAGCTCAGTAAGGCAGCATTTGCTGGCTGCTAGTCCTACAAGCCCCTGCTCCTCTCCCACGGCACTCTCTACACCTGAACCTCTTTATATTTACCTGGGTCAGCTGCTTGCACTGCTCCTTTGCCACGGCTGCCTCCTCCTTCATCGCAGCGAGCATTTTCTCTTTGTCTTGTAGCTGATGTGCAGCTGCAGCCGACTCAGCCTTGCTAGCCTGCAGCAAAAGTACATAAAAACGATCATACATGCCAGAAGTCCTTGCCCAGCACACTAGCAGGCAGCAGAGCAAACTTGAGAGGAAAAAACCCACCCCCTCCTGCCCCCAAATCGCCTGTCTACATGGCACCACCAGTACCCAATTCTGCCACTAATGGATCCTGCAGCACCGATTTTCTTAGGCATGGAAATGCATTTTCAAACGCACTGAAACCAATTAAGAGAATAAATGGGCTCTTAAGGTGCTTCCGCGTTGGAAGAGAGCCGCTGCGGTGGCACTGGGGAAAACGAAGAACAGCCATTAAGAGAAACAAAGGAAAAAAAGACGCAGAGACGCTGAATCACTCAATAATTGAGGTTGGGAGGGACCTCCAAGATCACCTGGTCCAACCCACACTCAAAGCAGGTATAATTCAACGGACTTAATCTCCTGAATTATCTCACTACAAAGGGAAAAGGGAACACTGATCTGGTCTCTTCTTCCACTTCACAGGAGAGCCTCCAGTTGACATAATTAGGTTTCTGCTGGCACACTGACACACAAAGTTTCGGAGATACTACTGGGAACAGAACTAGAGAAACGATCCCCACAGTCCTGCCACTTGTATATCGGTCCTAAAACTGAAATAACCGCAGTAAGGGGCAAACCTTCTAAATGTTTGGGCTCAGACTTCACTCAATGAAGCCTGATAACTGAGGAAGCAACAATAAGCATCCCATAAATGCACTCTGAACTTGTTTGGAAGCTCTGCTTTAATGGTATTGTGTATGTACGCCGTAGGAAACACACTGCCAATGCCTTGCGTGAGCTACAGATAGGAAAATATTCACGTTTCCATGTACAGAAACCTAGATTTTTTAGTTGTATACAAACTCAGGAACACATTTTGACCCTAGAGGTTTAGCTTTAACACCAAACCTTCCTTTAAAAGAAAAAAAAAATACAATAAGCAAGCTGGCTGCTGTTCCAAATAAAACAGGTAATATCATTGCAAGTGTACCACTACTGGGTTTTCAGTCAAGCACTGAGACAAGGGCCCAGAAAGAACATGAAGTCTCTATCCTTGGAGGTTTTCAAGCACCAGACAGACAAATCCCTGAGCAGCTTGCTCCGAATTCAATGTTGAACCTGTTCTGAGCAGGCAGTTGGACCTCCTGAAGTCCCTTCCAACCCGAACTGCGTGACATGCTACCATATTGCATTAACTGAATTGACACATCTCCAGTTCTGCCTTTCTGTTCTTGTACCGTATCTGCAGAATACAGAACTGCCAGACTTCGAGAGTGACGAACGGGATGTTACAAGCACAAAGTGACAATCATAATGGGTCACGGGAGGGAGGAGTAGGTATTTGTAAGATGCTGGTGGTCACCATTCTCTTCTGTTTTAATACAAAAACCAAAAAAGAACTGCCAAGCACTGGCACAGGTTACCCAGCGGGGTTGTGCAGTCTCAGTCCCTGAAGGTTTCAAGCTAGGCTGGATAAAGCCCTGAGCAGCCTCAGCTGACCTCAGAGCTGGCCCCGCTTTAAGTAGGGGGTTGGACTACAAACCCCCCGAGGTCCCTTCCAAGTCTGAGTTGACCTACAATCCACTGAAAAAATACCCAAAGCAGTCAGCAGACTAGAACACATAGACTTAAGAGATGGAGAGACTTGCACAACACAGAATTAGCTGCTCAAGTGCACAGCCACAGCAGCTTTTTCTTCATTTCTGCTACAGTTTAGCCTGTTTACGCATTTGTGAAAGACCCCGTGCCAACACCGACCCATCAGCTGCAGCAGCAGCCGTACATTATATACCTTATTCTCCATGGTTATCTCTGCTCTTGGTGAGCGGTCAAAGCCATCAGCCTGCCTAGCCAGCCCATGGGATGGCAGATGGCAGCCCACAGACATCTGACAACTGCTTTCTGCATGCAAAGCAAGCACAGACCAGCTGGAAAAAGTCTTCCAAAGACAGAATGCGGAAATCACAACAGAGCAGCAATACAGCTAATTCGACAGCATCTCTTTCCAGTTCCTGCTTCTTTAATAGTCGGCTCTCCCCTCCACTCACAGTCGTTTACCTTTTGCAAGACATCATGAATTGCGCTGGATTTTTCTTTTAACACGTCCACTATGCAACGGGCCTCGTCTTCAGTGAAGATCATATTCTTCATGGCCATTACAAAGTCTTTAAATTTTACTTCAGCATTCTCTGCAACGCAGAAGGGAGGATATATTTACTTTGGACTCTATACAGAATTATTTATTTTGCCTTGAAACAGCATGCAATGGGGTATCATTATGCATTATATTCAATTTCAGTCTGAAATGCCAAGAAGCAAGGGGTCATGAACACTCAGCGAAACAACTCTCCCATTTAAATCTGATAACAATCTGCCAGCTGATAGTTTTGGGAAAAAAAATCCCACCACTTTGTTTGTACAGTTGGTAACATTTACAGAGCTATCAAGACGTTAAAGCATAACACAGATTTTTGGAGTCAAAAATAGCATAAATGTGAAAACTTGAAGAGTCCTTTCCAGTGTATTATGACATTAATTCAAGCCGAGTTCTCCATTTAAAGGACAGCCTGGCACCACAAGCAATATGCAAATGACAACGTAATGAATGTAAGAACTGGCACGTTTCCGAGTACAATATATGGAAACCAGAAAAACATTCCCTCAGTGTGAGTTTGCAAATGAACTGCTGCAGAAGGAGTTTAGCAGTAGGAAGATAATCAGTAAGAACCCTCTTAATGACTAAGTGTTTAAAAAGACACAAACAAGGAAACACAATTCAACTGAACTACGCTCCAACAAAAACATTGTTCATATGAAAAACAGGCTGCACAGACATAGGTCATTAGGTGGCCCCCTAACTTCAGTAAATGGAAGCACAAGACCAAAGGCAGCCAGTATCTCTGTCAAATATTCACCAGTGCACAAAAGTACGTGAAGGAATTGGAGCGGGGTGGCGGGGAAGGAAAAACTTAAGTGATGCTTGGTTCAGAAAATGTCCCAAAGATCATGGAGAAGGGTCCAGGTTTCTCATCACAGGTGCTAAACATGCTACTGAAACCAAGCCACACAAACCCAAACCTCCCCAGAGTCTGAAAAATAAATCAACAAAAAAGCAGTGGTGATAACTAAACCCCTAATAGAAATTATTGAGCATAAAACCAGATCACTGAATAACAGAGTGCAGGGAAGGGGGGGTGGACACTGACAAATTCGAGCACACACCCTCCTAGTCCTAAATCCAACTTAGTCTTGGCCACAGACTTCAGATCACATCATTGCTGCATTGACATCATCAACGTTACTGTTACCAGGAATAAGCCAAAATCCTGAGACCACAGTCCGGGCAGCCAGGAGTCTGTAGCAGCTTGGCCTGGACCAGTCTGAGCCCTGTGCTCCCTGAAGGCAGGAAGACCTTGCCCTTGCATCCAAGAAGCTTACAGTCAGAATAAGGGAAGATTTCTATATTGGGAGGGCAAATCCCAGCTGACAGCGGAGAATTAGGAGCTCATACAGAAGGTTACAGCACGCAAAGGAGATGAGAAGGGACGGGTGTGAGAGGCTTTGATGCTGCAGGGCAGTAATATGCAGCCATTGAGCTAGAAGCACAACAGGAGCCTCAGGCAAGTGGGAATCCCATCTTGGTACCACACACAGTGGCCAGGAAGCTTTCAAGTGAGCATTTTAGAGTGTAAAAAAAAAAAAAAAAAAAAAAGAGGTCTCGGAAGAGTGCAGCGAGCAACCAAGGCAGACACTGTTGGAAAGCCAGCCTTCTGCACAAACCTGAGCAGGGAGCCACTGCTCAGTCAGTCACTTGGGTTTTCCTCTCTGGCTGCCCACACATTTGAGGGGCTCACCTCATGGCTTAGTAAGTTTGGCATGCTTTCAGCAGGTCAGGGGCCTACTTAAAGTTTTCAGGGTGGGACACAACGCTCACGGATCACTTCAGGTCTCCGTGGGAGAGTATGAAGGAAGCTCCCCCTTGGGTTGGACCCAACCAACTCCAACTGTATTAAAAGGAAAATTCGCAGTCTTACTGGAAACTGCCGGACCATCTCCACCTGCAATTTGCTTCAGGTAACTCTGTGCTGCACCCAGAGATGCACACTGGCTGACCAGCCCAAGCTAGTGCCATGACAGCCCCAGAGCTGCACTCCTGCTCTCAAGCAGACTCCAACAGCCCGTGCTGAAAGCTCCAGAGTCCCTCACTGTTAGTGACGCCTGAACCAGCTCCTGTAAAACTAGCTCACATGCATCTGTGTGGTCTGGGATCACCCGTTTGCTCACTGTGAGGACACAAAAGCCTACAGTCCGCATTAAAAGGACTCAGAGGGCGCAAAGCCCTTTCAACAGTGCCAAAGACAGGAGAGAAACGAGCACAGACAAGAGCAGTGTCCTGCAGCCACAACGTTTTCCTCAAATCACTTCTTCCTAGCAAGTAAGAGAGGACTCCCCTCCCTACATACACAGCACGTTTTCCCCGTTTAGGTTTGCAAGCAGGTTATGCTGGAGACGTACTGCTTTATTGGTTTCTTACCTTTATCCGTTCCATTCTTCGGTTTCTTGCCACTGCTCTTCTGGATCCCCTCATGCATGTTTTGTTTTGCTACTTCAACCACTTCTCGCTTTTCCAAAGTGCCTGCATCAGCATTATCCATCAAAGGAATATAAGTAGTTGCTTGTATAAGGGGTTCATCCACCAAAACTGTAATCGAAAGTCCACTGGATGGGTTAAAGCTTTGTAATAATTAAACACCAACATTTTTAGAAGAGGTGCGTAACCTATTAGAGAGTTGGATTAAAGCATCTCTAACTGCAATAGTTAGCTATACTCTCTATTTCTACTATCCTTCACAGCTTAACTCACTAAAGCTCTTCAGGTAAGTTCATTAAATAAAGGTCTCTAATGCATAGTACTTTAATAGCTTCAATTAAATTTCTATTTCCAAAGCTGCTTTTTAGCATTTTAACAAGCAGCAGAGAAGAATCTTTACATTCTGACTTTCATTTCACTTTAATGAGAAAGTTGCACACAGCAGCAATGAGACTGGTTTACTTGTGGCCGCGTATGAAATCAACCAGCATCCCTGAAGTACCAGTAAAGTCCTTTGTCCCTATTCTGTTAAAACCTGGTACCTTACTGCCAGCATTTTCTGCCAGATCACATCACCTGTGACCTTAAACCATTCAGGCAGAACGTGTGGTAGGGACAGCAATCAAGCTTATTTCACATGCAGACTCAACTTAATGAAGATCTCTCATCTGCCAGAGCAGGCTTTAGGCATCATTAATATTCAGAGAGATACCCAGAGGTACTGACCGACCTCAGGTCTCCACCCACATAGCAGTGTATAAACACAGAAAGGATCAGCCTCTGCCCAAAGAGCTTTTCAGCCTGTGCTGCCAAGACAAAAGCAGGGGAGGGGAGAGGAAGAGCGACAGACCAGGGACAACAGATACAGCTGGCAACAGAGCTGGATTTCTGTTTGCCTCGCTCCCGAGCTGCTGGTCCACGCTGCCTGAAGTATGCAAGACACTGTCCGAAGAGCCATGCCACAGCAGGGAAGCTCACTGATCCAGCCAGCCCAGACCAAAGGGCTGATGGACAAGAGATGCCACAGGGCAGACCAGAGAGAGGAGGAACTGGGTGGGATTCAAGGTTTCAGGCATCAGTGCAAGACAAATACACATTCCTGGCTGCCAGAGAGAGTTATAAAACCTTTCTGTATTCTGGCTGCTCTTAAGGAACAGAACAGGCCAGATGTACCTTGTGTGTCACCTGCTGGAGTCTTTCCACTCAAGCAACCAGCAAACATCTGCAGGTACACTGCAAGCTCAGAAGTGAGGAGAGTTTTCCTCTAGCAGAAATATTGACCACCTAATCCAGTTACCATCCTCACCTTTTCCCTTCCTCTTAACTTCCCCTCCTTTCAAAGTCTATTTAATATCAACGAGACATTCTGCAGTGTCAGTAACATCTGAAATCCCCACAGGACTGTCTGGGCTAATCTGGATGCCCACTGCAGCCAATTTTTGCTCTGTCATTTCGGAGAGGTGGCTTTAAAAGAAAACAGCTTGCATTCAAATAATGCATGAGCTACTCCTGTGTAGCACTGACAACTTAGCTTTAATGCTGGCTGAGCTGGTACTGACACTTATTTGCCACATACAAAACAAGTTTGTGGTCCATAAAATGCCCCCTCAACAAAGGGCAACAGATGCATCACGAAAAGCACAAGAACATTCACCATAGAAGGCAATCACACCCTAGGTTCCCCATCAGTAGGTTTCTTCCAGGAATAATCTGAAAGTTTTTCTGTTGTTATAACATATAGGAACCCTACACTACTTGGAACCCCACCCTGGTCTGACCAGGGCTTACAACTGATCTGCACCCTGATGACCTGACCAAAGTACAAAGGAAACAGTGACCAACATTGTCTACTCCAGGAGGAGTCCACCAGCTGCCAGCCAACTTCTTCATAGCTGTCCCAGCAAAGACAAGTTTTGAGAAGCTAACAAGGTGGCCTCACAGAACTTCATGGTCACGCTCTTCCCAAAAGCCACATGCACAACGGCATTCATTGTAGAAAAAAAAAAAAGCCACACACAAACACAGAGGCACACTGAGCCAAGAGGAGACAAGAAACAGCATCTTGGCAGAGAACGAGGGATGACGAACAGTAAAGGCCTTGACAGCAAAGATGAGCAGTTTATGTTGGAGCAATAGCTAGCTAACAAAAGGAGAATAAGAGAGGAACGTGGTCAAAGCAACCAGCTAAAAAAGCTGCAGCCTTGCTTGGGGCAGAGGACTGCAGCAGTTCCAGACGTGCCTTGCTCAGAGCAACTTGGAGCCTGCTCAGCATACACTTCTAAATCAACACATTACTCCTCAATTCAAGCGTGGCTGTTTGGATCCAGAAGAGCTCAGGAAGGTTAACAGCATCATCCCACGTTCAGTGGTACCAGTTGTTCATAAAACAGCATCTCAGGCTGAACAATCTTTCCTACCTGGAACTCCTGCTTTTTCAAATTAAAGGGAGTTATTCTTCTAGAAGTTTATTTTCCAAAGGGAAAGAAACTAAAGTATGGATGGCAAAAAGGTTTAACAGTCAGGTTTATCTGAACTAAGTCAGAGTCTGTATTCTCACCATTATCAACTTTCTGCTTCTTCGCAGAGACTTTTTTCTTTCCCGATACATTTTCTTGCTTTATTTCCTGGTGGAGCAGCACTGGGTCATGCTTTTTGGCAGGAGATGCAACAGAATCAGTCTTAGTATCTTGATCATCTGGAACAGACAATTAAGACAATATGCTCTTCTGTATATTCTCATCATCACTTTTTAAATTAGTAAATCTGTAATTACCAAAGGCCGTTCCCAGAAGAGAGAAACCCCGTATGTTAAATCAGAACGCAAAGTTATCCATACACACGTACACACATGCACTCACAAACATACACTTCCCGTTATCAGAGACCCCAAAGCAATAGGAAGGTTTAGCAGAATCAAGAGCGACAGCACCTAGTGTGTTTTGACAGACAGGAATCTTATCTGCAGGCAGAACATACAGGAGTGCAAGGAAGTTTACTAAATCCAATCCGGGTTTCACTGCGACACAGCAGACAGCACGTGTTATCCATATTAGTTTCCCATTTTCAGGAAGTATTTTATTCCCCCCCCACTCCCCACTTGGGCATTTTACACACACACACCCCCACACACACCCCCAACAGCTACTGGGACTGTGAGAAGCAGAAAATAAGTGTTTCACATTACGGAACTGTTCTTTTTAAATTTGTTTCTAGCGATTAATTTTTATCTTTTTGGACAGCCTGTGCTATATAATATTCTTGTCAGAGCTGACACACACAATACAGGGTTATGGGTGTTCGCTCCTGTAATCAAGGATAAGAGCTAGTTGTGGCTGCCCTCAAACAGTGCTTGCAGACCACGTTGTAACCATGCCACAGAGATTTTCAAAGAACACCCACAAACAAGATTTGATACTTTTTTTGTTGGTAGTGGGTGGGTCTTTAACACCCACAAACAAGATTTGATACTTTTTTTTGTTGGTAGTGGGTGGGTCTTTTTCCTCCCTTTTTTCAGAAAAAGAAAAAAAAAAATCACCACATCAAGCAGCAATGTCGTTCTTTTTCCTCACTCCCTGTAGCTAACCTGTTACGCCTGCATCTCAAAATGGTGATCTGCAAATATCTTGCATTTCACTTACTTCTGAAACTGGGTATTTTTATTCTTTTTTTAACTTCTATTCAGATGACCACGCTGAGACAAGTCAACTTATGCTGAGAATATGGTCAAGACAGTCAGTTCTCACTACAGTTTTCGGTCTGTTCTAGGTTGGAAGTTTCATTACAACAGCTGAACCAGCTTTGTTTTAGCATCAGTTCCATTCAATTATAGAGGTGTAGCAGGTGGGAAGCAGCTCTAAGTGCTTCCTTCCATGAATCAGCCACCAAACACCTCTCCATACATTAAGCCTGCACTTAAACAATGATTTATTTGGCACAGTCTGCTACGAGGTTTCTCTAGATGCCCTTCCTTATCAGAGCAACTACTCTTAGACTCCACTTTTTCATAGCTTGACATCAGAATGCACACAGCAAACATCTAACGACTTCTTTCAGATAATCAAAATTCCGACAGCTTGAGAGCAAAGTAGCCAAACCATAGAGCAAAGTAGAGATACGAGCTATTCTTTCACTTAATCTTTAGTAGAAGAAAGCAAGGACAGGAGGAGGAAAACCAAAGCATTGCTGCCAGATGAAAAACAGGGGGAGGAAAAAGCAAGAGCTTGTAAAAAAGGAAAAGGTTAGAAGTGAGCTTTGCCCCATAGAGATCAGGCAGAACAGTTGAGAGAGACACTCCGGGGCCTTGCAAAAAAGCAGAACACGGTTTTGGCGTTCTGTGCAAGAAGCATATGCAACATCAGATACCCATTCCATTTTTCTGCTTCTTCTGCCCAGACTTCTTCTTAGATGTTGTTGATTCAGATGGTGGAGTGGGCTGTTTTGTAACAGGGACTGGTTCTACTTTCTTGCCTGAAGACTTGGATCCTTCTGACTCCTTGGTTACATGATCATCTTGAACGGCCTTATGCTTCTTCTCCTTCTTCTTCCGTTCTCTAACGCCGGTAGACGCTTCAGTCACGCTCAAGGGAACAGGAGCGACATGCTCTTCATCTGTACTCAGGGCATCAGAAAGCTTAAAGTCCCGAGGTGTACTTTCAGAATCAGACTCATGGATGTTCCCGTTCTGAGCTTCTTTCTTCTTGTTCTTCTTCTTCTCCGTTTTCTTTTTATCAGTCTTGGTAGGTGGAAACTTTAGGTCCCTTTTCTGTTTTGCAAGGACTTCATCATATAAAGTTTCTTTCATGAAAAGCCAGAAGAAGAGGAAGATGACTGTAATAACCACAGAAGGAACGAGGATGATAAAGTAGGTGGACTCATAAAACTCCATTGTGCTTTTTCTTAGCTATTTAAAAAACCTAGAGGGGAAAAGGCAAAAAAAAAATAATTAGGTTTTGAACAGGTTTTCCTCAATATTATTTCCCCCACCAACCACAATAATAAAAGAAGCTTTGGCATTGTTTTGGAGAAGCCTTAAAACAGCTTTTAATAAAATTACCAAACTAAAGCAATCATGGAACAACTTCTGGAATCATTTCCCATTTGCTTCAAAGTTGTCAGCCTTGATAAGAAGGAACTGCAGTTTACAAGACTGCTAATCTTGGAAGAGATCAGTTCTCCTCTTTCCTTACTTTTCTCCATCTTCCTCATTCTCCCTTCCCAAGTGACCTTCATGAAGTTAAAGCTTTTGATTTCAGAAATACGTGAGACAGCACTTTCAGAGGCTGTGAATTAAGGACCAGCACAGGCAGAGCAACTTTTTTCTCTGATGTAAATCAAACATAACGAATTAAGATTTCCATCTTGGCAAGTGGGAGTTAAACTTCAACTTCCTTTTGTTCCCAGATTTATGATAGCTTCAGAAGTGGAATGATGGGAATAAGGGAGAGCGCCCTAAATTTTAGTTAACCATAAAGAATCAGGTATTTTCAAAACTGCTTTTTTGAAGTCTAAAACCCAGCTTTAAAGTCACAAAAATTCCACACATTTATAGGAAAACAGGAAGGTCTGTTACTTATTTTGTGCATGTAAGTGTGCACAAATTCCAGGGCACTAACTGACCAGATGACTCCAGGATAATTTGCTTAAAAACGCTATTTGTGCTCTGAGCACTATTTTTTTTTTTAAAGCAGGAACCACAGAGTTTAAAAAAAAAAAAGTCAAGATGAAGCTAAAAACCTAATTTGGGGGCCAAGACAAAACCAATTCTCCAATTTCACAACTGATCACTATGAACAGAGCTGGATTTTTGCAGGAAGAATTCAAATCCTCTCCAGTCTGTTTGTTCCAAGGGGCAAAAAAAGCACCAACCATTAAAAAGACAATCAAAACTAGTTAAGCAAGTGTAATTCCTGATTCACCAACTCAGTTTAAAAAACACCACGGAAAGCACGTGCTTCAACTGTATTTTTCTCTACACAAGACAACTCTTCAACTCAACCATCCCTTGGGAGACCCATTCTCTTGGGAAGGAAAGGCGAGGGATCTAACCCAGGTTGTGTCTCCCATAATCTTTGTCACCTTCTCTGCAACCATTGCCCAACTGCAGCATCCCCCAACGCAGCCAACGCACACAAAGGTCCCCCAACAACGCCTGGGGAAGCTCGTAGCGTTAGTGATGCTGGGCACAGTTACACATCAGCCTGCCCTTCTGCTTCTCCTCAACCAACCTGAGGATAAGCGCTCCACACAGGCTTAGACATAAGTGAGATGACCCCAAAAACAGTCGGGAAAACTGCCCCACACCTTAAAGCAATACTGCTTGGAGTATTTCCACTGCCATTCAGAAAAAGAAAACAGATGTGCCTACTGAGGGCACAGGGAACAAAGTCCATGTAGAAGCTGCATGGTGCAGGGAGAGGACAAGCTCTCCTCGCTTTGGGGCAGACAGAGGATTACTCTTTAAACCCCCAATAGTATAACATTTAAGGCAGTTTTACTTATCTCCTGGCTGTGCTGGAAGCTGCTATCGTAAACCAGCTTGCCATCCTGCTACATTGCCGAGAACTTAAGTTTTGGAGCCTGGCTCCAACTCAGAAGGGAAGAGTTTGTCGTATCTAGTAGTTTCTGGACAGAGAGGAGTTACTGCGATAATCTATTTATACAGTGCATTGAGCAGCACAGAAAGCACGGAGTGGGAACTCTAATTTGGCTATTAAGTTATCCAAACAACATACTAACATTTCAATTAACTAATTATTCATCAGTTGTCTTCACATTAAGTCTCCTCCCAGTTTGTATTTATTTTCTGAGTGCACACAGCTCACTGAAAAGGCTTGAGTCTAGAATTATATTCAGCACAGAAAACTTCAGAAGGGCTGAGAAGGATGGGAGGAAAAGCTTGTCTTTTGGGGAGAAAAAGCACAGATGCTCCACACTAAGCTGGAGCTTTCAAAATGATTAGTTACAGCTACTTGATAAAACCAGCTTCCTGCACTAAGTGATCTAATATTAGTCATCTCTTGAAGGAAGCAGATCTTGAAAATTTGTCTCAGCCAGAGTCAATATTGAATGCTTAAAGGAGAAGCTAATCCCTAAAGTAAATATGTAATTAAGCAGATTTTTCACAAGTGTAATTAAGTTGATCATTACAATACATTACTGCAACAATTACAATACCTAACCACAAAGAGCCCAGAGCAGCCCACCTCTGCCTTGCTGACACACAAGCACACAGCTGGCCATAAATTCATCCGACTGCTTCAGCCAAGCCGGGACGATCACACCCTGCAGCCATCCCTACGCGTTTCCCACCACCCGACACCAGATGCTCAGGTCAAGTCACACGCTCGGCAAAACACGCGTTGTAAAGGCTCAAGACGTCAAGTGGCAGAAGGCACGTTGGTCATCAACGTAGGGCCAAGTATAAGCAGAAAATGATTGCTGCTTTGAGACCAGAGAGGCTAGACACGTTTAAAGGCTTCAGCTGCTTCAAGAGCAGCCATAAATATGCAATTATAACAGCTAGTCCAAGTGCAGAACATGTACGAGACTAGATGAGGTCTGATCTCAGAGCTGGCTGAGCAATGCGAGCTCCACTGAGCCTCAGACCACCACCCTGCACTTCCCTCCACTTGTGGAACAACGCTGGATCCAGAGCACAGCGTGGCAAGGATGAGTTTCAGAGCCTCAGCAGACCCAATTACTGCTCCTGTCCTCCTCCTGCTCATCAGGGCAAAGCGGAGCAAAGGCCAAATGAACGCTTCCACCCCAAACACTGTGACCAGAGACACACAGATTTCACCTCAGAAGCGCAGCAGGGAATGTCACATACACAAATCCAGCCTTTCATATAGAAGCAAGGTTTGAGAAAAAAAAAATAAAAACAAGTAAAAGCCTCAGGTTGTAACTAGGATTGATTAAGCACACCTAGGAACAGCAAACAAGAGCTCTGCTCTGATGGTAACACAGTAATTTCCCATCTCAGCCCAGCATGTGCAAGGGCATTTTAAAATCACTTCTGGAAGGATACCATTGCTGCTAGCTTGTATGCAGAACGACAAGATGATCCTTCACCATCCACCCCTTGTCAAGATGTCTTTATAAAGTGGCATCCTTGCCACGGGGTAAATAGGCAGTGTTTTGGCTCACATGCTGTTTCCAATTGTCATCCGACAACCTACCATTACAAACAAGTTTCTCCATTCCCATTTATACTTCCACATTACACTGACAAGCCATCTAGGAAAAAAAACAGAAGGAATCTATAAGGGGAAAAAAAAAATCCTACGCCACACAAAAAGAAACAGGACAAAGGAGATTCTTAAATTAAACCAAGCAAACGCTACATTAAAACACCTTCACATCGCAGCTTAACTGCTCAGGATTTAGTTCTACCATCCCTCCCATTCCTGTTCGCTGTGGGAACACGAGACACCCTCACAAAAATATTACTTCTCATCCCTCCAGCAGTGCTGGCAGAGGGACTTATTACTCACAGCCCTCCCTCGGACAACTTTCCGGGGCGGCTGCACCAGCTCTCTACCCACTCAAAACTGCAATCCCCAGGCAAGGCACACCCAGCAGAACTTGCACGTACACACCCCCTCGCTCCTGCCAACAAGAGGCACAGCGACTTTAGCTACACAATTTCCAAGTTATTCGGTTAAATACTCACCTTCCATGCTTATTTGATATTTAACCTGATGTTTATCAGGCACGATTCTTAGAGCCCAGCGCCCGTGCCAGGCTCAACACTTGCAGACACGCTCCCGTCTCGTTCATAAATTCAAGAACTCACAACATCCCTTTAGTCATTCTGAAAAAGGGGAACAAACCGCATCTGTCCCAGCCCACATGCAGACTCTGTTACTGTTCCCATCCCGTGTTGAACAAAAGAATTGCACTTTTGTTCCCCGAAACAGAGCCCGTGCCACAGAAAATAACTATTTCTGAACTCCAGTGCAGTATTAGCGCTTGCACCTGACTTTCTCTGCTAGTTAACACTGCCCTGGATTTTTTAAACACACCCTTCGCTTTTTGCATTTAAATCTCAAGTTTCACCCTGCACAGATACCACATTTCACGGGATATTCGTTCAGTTTAGGTCCAGGGGATTAGCTTACTTGAGAAGACAGAAATAAATTATAGCTCCATCTGGCTAATGAGTCACTTGTAGCTTAGCCCCAGCACATTAGAAGCACGGCTTGTATAAATGCTTGGGTCCCAAGATGCACATAATCTCCAGGGATTTGTGCCTCTCTGAAAAACTAATATTTAAGGAGGGAAAATATAGGTACCAAGGTTTTTTTGGTTTGTTTTTTTTTTTTTTTTTAAATACTAAGCAGTTTAAGAGATACCACATATGATTTAGCTAAGGCAACAGTTTCTTTAATTGGGGTATTTTCCCTGGGATTTTCTCAAGCTGGCAAGCGGACTAAAAGAAAGCCCTCCCATCCACAGTCACTACAAACGCTACAAGAAGTCTCAGAGGAGTATCTGTATTCACAAATTCCTCAAATAGGTAACAGTATTTTTTCCTTAATCTGCTCACGGTTAGCAACACGCTCCCCATCAGCCAGCTGCAAAGAGGATCTTCTTGAAAACAGCTTCACTCCCAAGCTCATCTTCCCCCAGAGCTCTTCGGGAGAAGATGCCCAGCAACTTGGGCTAGACAAGGAAACTACACCCACATCTGCCACAGGTGAAATACAATATTAAACAAGACGTTCAGCCACTCCACGCATATTCCCCATCCATAGCGGGAGCAACCAGCCCTCTGTGACTTTGTCCATGAGCACTAACTGCAGGGCTCAAGCTCTAGGAAGGAGAAAAACCTAAAGGCAGTTCATTTAACACAAGCATTGCTACAGTACGAGAAAAAACTGCGGA